AGGACATCAGGAACAGCTGACATTACAAGTTATAATGTAAGATGTGGTTCAAATAATCATAGCTGAAAATCAAGAGCTTCACCCATTATCTGAGTCAGTCTCACCAACCAACTGGTGAATGTGCTTCAGGAAAACCAAGCAGGGCAAGAAACAGATCAAGGGCAAAGACAGATGGCAGAGATCACGCTATCTGCAAATCAGGCAGATACAAAACTCTTAGGTTTCCTATTTTAAATTCAGGACAGTCTGGAGCTCAGAGGAGAAGCACATTGCTTTCTGTCTTTCCTTTAAAATAATAAGATTGCAAATCCTTTAATTCCAAGGCAGCAGAATGGAGAGCAGTAGAAAATTCTGCATCCTAACCCCCAAGATAAAGGAGCTCTGGTGGTGTAGTGGTTAAGGCATTTAGCTGTCAACCAAAAGGTTGATGGTTCGATCCTACCAGCTGGTCCATGGAAGAAAGATGAGACAGTCTGCTTCTATAAAAATTCACAGCCTTGGAAATCCAAGTAGGAACTGACTTATGGCAGTGAGTTTGGTTTGGGTAACCTTCAGTTTAGGAGTAAAATAAATGAAAATGATAGGGAGAATGGTGACACTTAGAAAAAAGAAGGAAACAAGTCAAGTTCATGAGAATATTAAAAAAAAAGGGGGGGTGGTATTTTCGAAACCACACAGGTCAAAAAAGGAGCTCTTTTACTTTAAACAGCAGAGGACCCAGTGATATGTCCTTAAACAATGTCCTTGAGTTAGACTGTACACCCAAGTCCACCTAGGTCTTCTGGATCCCAATTTAGCACAAATACCACTGACCTACTTCATAGCCTAGGAAATCAAAAGAGACTATTTAAAAACATGCTTGTCATTATTATTTGCCGTCAAGTTGGAACTGACTCATAGTGATCCCTCCTTGGGTTTCTGAGTCAGCATCACAACGAAAGTAGATTGCCCATTCTTCCTTACGAGGAGTGGATGGTGAGTTTGAACCACCAGCATTCTGGTTAGCAGTCAAAGTGCCTTAGGCACTATGCTACCAGAGCTCCTGAAACCACGCTAGGACATCTTTTTTATCTTAATTCTTTGGCTACCTATTATTTCAGGCTGTAGTACTTCATTCTTAATGTACAGGATTTATCAAGAAAAGCATACATTTAAGTTTGCAGAAAGTCAACCCTTATGTAAAATATATTAAATACTTTAAAAAAAAAAAAAAAAAACAGTAAAACTCCACATGTGTGAAGACCTGAGTAAAAAGTGAATTGGGAGATGTTGCCAAAAATTTTGAAACTTTTCAAAATGGTACTAAACATACTATGTTCTTTTATCTTAAATATACTTTATTTACAACTGCAGAACTACTTTTTTTCTTGACAAATAATTAGAGGATTTTTCTTGAAAATCAGGCAAACAAATGAAAAATTAAGCAATGAAAAGTTAACCCTTTACCAAAAATGAGGTTTCTCACCTCTGATTGTAATATTTCAAAGATTATATTGATCTGTCATCTAGGAAACTATTCTGAATTCATCACCAAGCATTATTTAAACCTCCTACAAATGTTATTAGGCACTTCCAAGTTTTTAGCAACCTGTTACCCTTGTTGAGATAAATCACTGACCATGGTTTCTCCATGTTCTCTGGGACAAGTAAGTTCAGGTACACTAGGTACACGGTATCAAAGCATCCCAAAAAACACTGTGGCATTTTGCATGAGTTAACACTCATGTTACTTCATAGTCTCATGTTCCCATGATCAGCTCTATTCACTCTCCTTTCCAAATAGGAACAAATTAAGTCACGTAAGTCACCCCCAAACAATAGCCTCTGCAGTACGAAAGTTGAATTTGAATAGCTTGATGACTGTTCAGTGGGCTGTAAAAGTGTTCCACAGTACCAGGGCAGTCTTCCCCAAAGCTAAACAGAAAGTTCAGGTCCCTCATGGGGAGAGGGAAGGCAAGGGTAAGGTCTCTGAGCATTTCCAGCTCCTCTAGAAAGAAGAGTTGCAGCATTACAACCATGCTGGGCTATAGACAGAAAACCTAGAGAGATACCCTAAGTACTCACTCTTAGATTCTTAAATGCATCTTTCTGCTCTGAGAATTATACCCTAACTCCCTCCACCCTGGCAGTCCCCCCTTGACTGCTCAGACCCCTCTCTGGCCAGGAGGCACTGAGTCTCTTTGTTATCATCTCTAGGTCACCCCATGCCTATCTTCCCAGATGCCGGGAGTTAAGAGGAAACAGTCAATAGTAGGAAGAGAACTTCAAAACTTGAAAGAGGCAGATGGATCAGGAGGCCAGCAAGTGCAAGATGTCATGATTGCCACAGTGAAACACAGCCCAAGGAAAGTCAGAAACTTTGGTAAGTAGAGCATAAGTGGGCCAAGGAATATAAACGTATCTGGGATAAGACTGCTAAAGGGCAGATCAGTGTACCTGCAGGAAGCTGAGAGGGCAGTGAGTTTACGTTGACAGGGAAGGAACAACTCAGAAAAGGAGGTGGACAATGGTTACACAACTTGAAGAATAAACACAATGTCTCTGAATTATACATGTAGAAATTGTTGAACTGGTGTGTGCTTTGTTGTGTACATGCTCAGCAACAATAAGATAACTTTTTTTTTCTAAATACACTTGTGAACTCTCACACAGGCACAGATAGCTTTTAACAAAATACCACACAATTAAAAGTAATAAGGTCAAAAAAGATGAACACACATACAATTAAAATGATAAGGTCAATTAAGATAGAAAGAGAGCACATACAAAGAGGCAGCCCCAGCATAAGGCTGAGCATTAGACACAACCAGGGAAACATGGGAGGCAGCCCAGGACAGTGGAAAAGGACCTGTAGTGCCAGAATCGCAGGGTTACTCCTGCTGCTATAACTACCACTATCACTGCTAATAACGATGACAGCAATTCTTTAGTGCTTACTACTTGTCTAGCATTGTTCTAAGAATATCATACACCTCAATTCCCATGTAATCCTCACAACAAAACAAGCCTCTAGGAAAGAGAAAAAGATGAGGTATCACGCAGACCTGGGTAGAATTCTGGCTCACCACCCATGAGTGAGTTAATCTTCCCATTTCTCCATTTCCTCTTATATGAAATGGGATAATCATACCTGCCCTGAGTGGTTGCTTTGAAAATTAGAAATAATGAACTTAAACGGTTACTAGCGGCTGCTATTAATGCAATTAATCAGATTAAGATAATCAAGAGTGAAGAACAGAGAAAAGAGTTGTAATGGGATAGAAATGGCAACAAAGATGCAATAATGGAAACAAGGCACAAAACAGCCCTCCCTGTGATCAAGGCTGAAGGCTTGGAGAGAGTAAGAGTGAGGAGAGCAATGGATTTGGCGTCTTCTCTTTGAGTACATGTGGGCAACTCATGTGAACTCCCTGGGCTTCAGTTTCCACATCTGTGAAGAGGAGGTAATACAAAGCTTTCTTATACCATACAGTTGGTTGTGAAAACTGTAGGAGAAGATTGTGTCTGAGTTCATTATTATAAGCAAAGAATTATTAAAATGTGCAAATCTGCTTGCTATATGGGGAAGTCTATTTCTATGTCCACCTATTTCTCAGGTGGCATTGAAATATTCAACTAGTAAAACCATGTCAGAAACAACAATTACACACTGCAAAGTAATTGAATATTATGTGCCTCCTTTGGTCACCACTAATGGAATCTAATTAATTTATCTGACATCAAAGGTTCACTTCAGGTTTACCTCCCACAATTTCCACCCTTCCTATAAGCATATACCCCTTTTACCTGTTTTGTGCTTCCTTCCCAATTTATACCTTTGTTTATAGCTGTCTGGAATGTTGTTCCCTCTCATAATGACCATATGCTTGGTCATTCTTGAGAATCCAGTTTAAATGCTTCCTTTCCACGAAGAAGTGATCCCTGCCTTATTATCCTTTTGAACTTTCACTCACCCTACTTAGCACTTTCCTGTGTTGCAGTCACCGGTGTGTGTGCCATCTCTCCTACTCATCAATAAGCTCCTTGAGGATAGGCAGCGTGTCTTTCTTTTCTGAAATCTGCTTTACCCTACAGCACAGGACCTTTCACAGGATAAATGCATAAAGTATATGTAAGATATGAATCCTTTTGACTTAACAACTTTCTCTGAATTATTATATTTAGCTGATGTATTGTAAGGTAAAGAAAAATACTTTAAAATATAAAGAAAAAAGAATATATAGCACCATGATCATAACATAAAAGTTTATATAGAGAGACAAAATGAAGATGAAAAATAGATTCTAAGACTTCCCTTTTCCAAATGAGAGTTAAAGGTGTTTTGAAAAGTAGGTTAATTATGTTAAAATACTCATCTGGCCTTAGTCACTTCTGGAAAAAACAAAACACAAAAAAAGCAAACAAACAAACAAAAAAAACGCTTCCTGGACAATGACAGCCTTAGTCCAAAAGAGGGAGGAGACATAGCTGCAGGCACTCAGGTGTCTCTGGTCCCTTTCCATGTACCTCATTAGTGAGGCACGCACAGCAGGGTCCTTGTGACTGTCAAGGTGCATCTCTCTCTCTCTCTCTCTCTCTCTCTCTCTCTCTCTCTCATCAAGCATCCAGGGGGTTAAGCAATTTAGCCTCCAAAGCTCTCCTGCACCTCTCTCCCTGTAGGTGAGACTGAAGCCCACTGGCCTCCTCCTTCAGTAAACAGGTCTCAGCTCTGGCAACGGGTTGTCATACTTAGCATCTTAAGCAAAGTAAGCAGTAAATCGCTAAGTATGCGAGGACTACTTCTATTGAGCCATTTCATGGACACTGTCCACTTAAGAACCAAAGTATGAAGACGCCCCTGCCTGAGCCCTTTTCAACTAGTAGAGCCTGCTCTTTCTGTCACCCCCGTCCTGGTCCACGGGAGATGGCCACGAACTAGAGGTCAACTCGCTGACCCTGACAATTGTCTGTCCCCCTCTTCAATTGCCCAATTCCCCACCTTCTGGGGTCTGCTCGCTCACCAATCTTGGCCAGGGAGGCCAGCAAGATCCACAGGGTGATCTCAAAGGGGATCTGCACGTGGGGGTAATCCAGGGTGAACACCGGCAGCCGGCTTTCCTCGAACGGTGTCGTACCGGGAGCCACCACGCTCGCGGGGCTGGGTGGGCTGGAGCTGGTGCCCATGGCCTTCGGAGCGCCCAGCAGGGTCTCCGCCAGGGCGCCCTCTGGCCCGACCACCTGCAGGATTAGTAGCAGCAACAGCGGCAGCGGCGGCCGGAGGCTCCGCCCGGTGTCTGTTGGCTCCAAGAGGTCGGCTCCCGGCGCCGCCATGGAGCCAAGCGCTCTGTCCGCCGGGCGCTCAGCGCATCGCCCAGGGGCAGTGCTGCCCGCTCCGCCCTGCGAGGTGCGGGACAGCGAGAGCAGCCTGCAGCCGCCGCCAGTGCCGCCGAAGTGCCGGGTCTCTGCAGCCAGAGAGTTCGATCCCAACTGCAGGTAAGTGGAATACCCGGGGGGATGCACACGGCGACGGCAGGCTCAGGCGTGGATCCTCAGCTGCCCTCCGCCGCCTGCCGCAGACCCATGCCCTGTTCCGCGCAGCTCGCGGGCCGCAGCTGCAGGCCCTGTCCTCCGCTGCCCGCGGGCGGAGGCGGGGAGGGGCGGGGGTGGGGCGGGCGCGGCACCCAGGCCGCGGGGTGGGAGGACAAGCCGGGCGCACTGCGCACCTGCCAGGGCCAGCGGGCGACGTGGGGCCCCGGGCCCTGCAGCTGCGCTTTACTCTCGCCCGCACCTCACGCCACGACCCCGCCACGCGGGGAGCCGGGGAGCAGTGGGTAGAATCACCGCATCTGGCACACTGTGGCCGTGGCTGTCTCCGCCCCCGGAGGCAGCGTCGAGGAGTCCATCCAGTGGCCAGTGGCGGGGCCAGCGAGACCCACGCGTCGCGTCCTTTCCCTCGCAGGCCTCTGTGAGGGGACACCCTGGTGCACTGGACTCGCCGGGAGGTGCCTCAAGAGCGAGGTCGGGAGAGAGAAGCTTGGGAAGAGAAGCTAGGACTGGCGATGTGAGAAGCTATGAGACCAACCCGGAGGCTGCCATGCTGCCACATCCAGGGAAGCTCTGTGGATGGTGCAGAGAGTATAGAGAAGCTTCATTTTGTTCCCCTTCCAAGTGTTAACAAATTGTGCACAAAGTATTCCCTCCGTGCACTGAAGCTTTCTGTGCTGAACTCGGTGTTCCCCACGCTTTCACGGAATTCTTTCCTTTCTTTTCCACCTTGTACTGGTTTCACTAATTTTAACACTGTCACTTCCACTTTTCTTCTCCCTTCTCTCGCTCATGTAAGAGAAAAACATCGTTCTTTGTTTTTAGGCTTAGAAGTGTGCATGTCCGTGAGCATCAGAAATATAATTATTTCATGGAAAACTAGTGATTTGCCTCGCTCAAACTGACTTGCTCTGCTAATTACAGGACGGTTTGCGGCTAGGAAAGGAAGGGAAGGAAAGGAAGCCGGATTCTCCTTCTGGATCTAAAAGAGCTTTATCTTCCAGAGCCAACCGTTCTCCTCCTCCTTGTTTGGAGCACAGAGGTCTCAGTCCTAAGTGCCTTTTACTTCACTGGTTGCAATCTTACTGTCACAGCATCTTTATCAACAGAAACTGAAACGAACATAAAAGCAGACCAATTGTCACTCGATTCATGTTAACTGAGACAATTTACTCTCTGATACTTTGGAAATAAAATCCTTCCCTGTTCTCAATGCTACTGTGTCAAAACATGGTTATTAAACCAACTATTAAACAAACTACTATTAAACAAATATCCTGAAGTTCAACTTTAAAGGCAGTTTTTGTTTTGTTTTGTTAAGTTCTAAACCTAGCGAATTCATGAGTTTTCAAGGAATGGCATAAGAAAAGTCCCTTCAGCAGGAAGCAAATAAGTGTCTTCTTGAGACTTGGAAAGTAATGTGGGAACAAGTTGTGGATAAAATGTTAGAAGGATTCTAAGAGATGATACAGAGCTCTTAGGTTGCTGTTTTATAGAGTATGAGTGCTGCAAAAGGGCAACAGAATTGGATCTGAAGAATATTTTATCTTCTCAAAAAGAATCACTGAGCCATCTAAAACACAATCTCCTTTGCCGTTTTCAGTGCAAACTTGTATTAAAAGTAAGTGCCTAGCACACCTTTGTGAGAAAACAAGAACAAATGACAGCTGCTTTAAAAAAAAAAAAAAAAATCCAGCTCAGAGGAAGACACAGTCTTTGTGTTTTTGTTCATCCCCACAACCACCCAGAGATAAATAATCTTGTATCCATTTCATAAGTGAAGCAATTTAGATGTGGAAATTAAAAACCAACCAACCAACCAATAATAATAATAATAATAAAGTAAAATAAAATTTAAAAAAGGCATTACCCAAATTTACAAACCAAAGAAGGGTCTGGAACAAATTCAAGCCCAGGACTATCCCTGGTTTCCTCCCATTCTCAAGCCTATGACTAGTTTCCATAAACAGCAGGTTATTTTCTCAGGTACTTTAAAATACAACCATGGAAATGTTTCAAGGATTGTCCTGAAAAGCCATAGAAGAATTTATAGTAAGCAAATCAGGCAAGTTCTACAAGTTTAGTGAAATAATGGTAGGGCAAAGGCACTTTCAGGCAGTAATGTCCAGGAGTTTGAGTTACACAATACTTTTAAGAGTGATTGTGCATCACAAATGAGAAGGTGAATGATAAAGCTACATTTCTGGGACCTCATTGCTGGTAGTAACTGCAGAGATTGCAGACTCATGGCTTTAACTTTGTGAAGTTACATTACTGCAGTTAAAGATTATATTTTTCTTATATTTGGTAAAGTGTTCTTTTATTTATTCTTGTAAAGGGAGGGTGAAGGACTTAATTTAAAACACATTCTTTTCATCTTTTCCCTAAAACAAATAAGGCAGACTTAAATTATTCCTCTCTGCTGACAAGATGTGGCTGAGCCATTTCCTCAGAAGATATTATGAATAGGAAGGAGTTCAGCCCCTGAAAGTGATAACACCATCCATTACCACCCATGGAATGAATGAAGGATTAAAATTTGTCAATGATTTCTTAGTGCCATTTGGAAAGACCAAACTCCTACAATAACTTACATGATTCGACCTCTGCCTTTCTTTTCCATTGCTCCTCTTCTCTCCTTCCCCATGCCCCATTTTTCATGGGTTCTGACCAACATTTCAGGCTCCCTCTCACCTCAGGGCCTTTGTTCCTTTTGTCCCCTGTGCAGGGGACCCTCTTCTCCTCAGCCTCTTTCCCTCCATACCATCCTCCTAAAGTTTCAGCTCAAAGAACTAACTCACAAAAGTCTTACCAGGTACCTCCCTTTCTGGAATAATTACCAACAGCAACAATAGTCAAACCAGTTGTCCTTTCAGAGTAGAACTATGTTCCATGTAGTTTTCAAGACTGTGACCTTTTGGAAGCAGATCACCAGGATTTTCTTCTGCGGTGCTTCTGAATAAGTTCAAACTGCCAAATTTCTGTTCGCAATCTATTGCTTGACTATTTGAACAACCCAGGGATTCCCAGGACTAATTAGGGTCACATTTTATACACTTTAATATCTACCTATACCTTTTAGCATTCAATCATTTTGCTTTTCTCCTGCTAGGTACGAAGCTCCATGAGTGCAGGGACAATCTGTTTGACTCACTGGTTAATCCTTAGCACCTAGTACAGAGCCTGGAATCTAGCAAAAGAAAAACAAAAAAAACAAGCTCACTGCCATCAACTCAGTTCAACTCATAGTGACCCATCCTTGGGTTTCCAAGGCGGTATCTCTGTGGAAATAGATTGCCCAACCTTCCCTCTGAGGAGTGGGTGTCTTCTGGTTAGCAGTCAAATGCCTTAGGCACTATGCCACCAGAGCTCCCAGTATGTTATATATCCTGAGTTAAAAGCCCATGGGCCCATATAGGCAGAGCTACAAGATATCAGGATTTTCCTATCCAGTGCCAGAAATAAGCAGTCAAATGCTTTAGACACTATACTACCATAGCTCCCAGGCACCCACTAAATATCTGATGGATAAATAAATGTATGATTTATCCAGGAATCAACAGCTCTCCTGACTTAGAAATATGAGCCACATACCTTTCTCATGGTGGGGTCAGTTGCAGTATGGGCATGAATTCTCCTACTTCAATCCCAGTTTCATATGGTTTGGTATCTTACTTTCTTTCCTTTCAACACAAATGATGTGAAAATCCAACTACATTTCAGGATTTCTAAATGTTTTAATAAATCATAATTACCTGACCCAAGACTGAACTTCACACAGCATAGAAATATTTACTAGGATCTTATGAATCTTCCCAAACTCACAAATACTTTCTTCTGTCTTTTGATCTATTATGGTCTATTAGAGTATTACTCTATGGAGTCAGACAGCCATCAAGCATGACAGGAACTTGGAAAATAAAGCTGAATTAGCTTAAGAGAAAGTGTATATTAAAAAAAAGAAAAAAAAAAGAGCTCTGTTCAAGAAATTGCTATTGTCACATGACACAAAACTAGTCTCTAATCCCTTCTTCTGCCCTGGAAATCTCTGGAGGGCCAGAGTTGTGTCTTATTTATTTAGCTTTGTGTTTCTTGCCACACAGAGCTTAGAGCTTAGTTAAATGTTACTGAATGTTGAAACTCAGAATCTCTGTGTAAATGAGCAGGCAGAGGTCTCCATGTTATTGTGTGCCATCTGGTCAATTCTGACGTATATTGGCCCCATATGACAGATTAGAACTGTCCCATAGAGCAGATCACCAGATCTTTCCTCCCACAGAGCTGCTGGTGGGTTCCAACTGCATACCTTTTTTGCTGACAGCCCAGTGCTTTGACCGTTGCACCACCAGGGCTCCTTGAGTTCTCCATACGTTATCAAATATAGTCTCGGCAACCAGTCTAGAAGGTTTAGTATATTATCCCTGTTTTTTAAATGCAGAATGGAGGTGACAGAGGAAGTGATTTGCTCATAAATGGAAGTGACTCCCCTGCTCCACAGCATGGCAACCAACACTCTTTCCACTGGATTAACTCCACTGTCAATATCCAGACTGTAATGTATGCTTGATCGATAGATATGAAACAGGGAGGGGCTTTATTGTTAGATACTATGTTAGAAAATAGGTACAAGAGTGTCTAATAAAATAATTATTATCTAGTAATAGTTCAATAATAGATACTAACATTTCACACAGAACAGAACAAATCGGTCCTGGAAAAAGTGCAGTAAGAATGCTCCTCAGAAGCTAGAATGGCCAGACTTTGTCTCATGTACTTTGGTCATGTTG